CAGCCTGGGCGACAGAGCGAGACTCCGTCTCAAAAAAAAAAAAAAAAAAAAAAAAAAAAGAAATGCTGACCCACCCTCACCCTAATTCAGACCAATTACGGAGATATGTGCTACTGCCTGACCTTGGGCTAGGCAAGGAGCTGGGCTAGGTTGGGGATATCCAGGCATGGGGCAGGAAGCTGTGCCAGGAGGTGAGAGATGTGACCGGGGCAGGCTGGGAAAAGACGGAAAAAAGTGAAGCTGGGCTCCCCCGGCCTGGCTCCCCTCGCTGAGGCTGTGCCATCCAGCCCGGTCCCTGCCCCTCTCTGTGTCTCAGTTTGCCCCTTTGCACCACAAGGTGGTTGGAGGGAGATGGTCACCCTAGCAAGCCCCCTGCACCTGAGACGGGCTCCCAGGACACAGCCAAGGGCGGCCATGGGGGCTCAAGTCACCCACCAGCATCTCCATGGAAGAACACTGCCTGGGGCCCTGAATTCCAGAGAAGAGCCTGTGGAATCACTGAGGCTGACTCAGAGGAAAGGGCGGGCCAGGGGAGCCGTGGCTCTGAGTCACCAGGGCTGCGCAGGCTGGCGTGCCTTCCTCTGCCGCCCACCCAACCACAGAGCCCCAACCACGGAATCATCCTGACCTGGATTCAAATCCCAGATCAGTGAGGTTGTCAGGTCGTGACCCTTGACGGGACTGATGTGTAGAGACAATCATGGTTGTGTCTGATTAAAAGAATGACTTTATGTAAAGTGCTTGGCACAAAGGTGGCACTCAGTGACAAGCACTTTGCTCAGTAGCAGACAGTTTTGAGCACTTTCTATGCATCCAACGTATGATGTACAAGCATTTTCCAGGGTTAGCTCCTTAAATCTTCCTAATAAACCCACGAGGTAAGTCCTCCTATTCTCTCCACTTTTCAGAAGACGGAACAGGTTTGGTGAGGTCCTACAGTGGGCACGTGTGGACCTGAAAGGGAGTTATCACTGATGTTAAGGGTGGGGTGAGGGCACCCCACCCCTCACCCTACAGCCCAAATTGTGACCTTCCCCCACCTGCCAGCACAGTCCCCTGCCCAGACTCTGTGCCCAGCCCTGTTTGGTGCCCTGAGGACCCAAATGAATGGACCAACCCAAGCACTGCTCTGAGGAAACAGGTTCATACCCAACCACTTTAAGTTGCTGGCAGCGATGAGAGGAGGAACTCCTCGACTGCCCAGGGGCATCAAAAACTAAAGCAGAAGAAGAGGCAAAAGAGGAAAGGTGCTCCAGGCAGAAGGAACGGTCAGTGGTCAGTGCGAAGGCCCAGAGCCCAGAAGTCTCATGCCAGGTTCCTACAGGGATCCTCGTCCTTCGCTTGCTTTAACTTGCACCGTTTCGGTCCTGTTCGTCCTTGTTCCCATGACTCAGGCGCCCCCCACACAGGAGAGGAGCTGGTGAGTGGGCGGTCCCTGCCTGGAAGGCCAGTGAATAATTATCCCACTGGGGTTCACACTAAGACTGAGCCAGGTGCTGAACTCATTCCATCTCACGCTACCCCGGGGGCGGGGCCTGTGACTACCCCAGGTCCAAGCGAGGAGGCCTAGGCTCAGGTAAGGCCATGGGCAGAGCGCCCCGGTCGCACCCAGGCACCTACGTCAGCCTCAACACACACTTGGGAGAACGAGCAGCCTCTGTGGCTGTGGAAACCCAAGCTGAAATCCCTACTCTGCCCCTCTTTTGTTACTGGACTTTGGGGAGTTGACACCTTCTTTCTTGGCCCCATTTTCCATCCCTGTGCAGTAGGGGCAGCCTGAATGAAAGGGACTGCAGCATGGCCAGGGGTCAGGAGCACAGGCTCTGGAGCTGGACCACTTGCATTCACACCTTCTCTCTGGGCCTCAGTCTCCTCTTCTGTAAAATGGGGAGGATAGGAGCACTGTCAAATGACAACATGTTTAGTTTAAAGATCTAATTGGATTTTAGGGCTGGGTGCAGTGGCTCACACCTGTAGTCCCAGCATTTTGGGAGGCTGAGGCAGGTGGATTGCTTGAGGTCAGGAGTTCGAGACCAGCCTGGCCAACAGGGTGAAACCCCATCTCTACTAAAATACAAAAATTAGCTGGGCGTGGTGGCAGGTGCCTGTAATCCCAGCTACTAGGGAGGCTGAGGCAGGAGAATTGCTTGAATCCAGGAGGTGGAGGCTGCAGTGAGCCCAGAGAGAACCACCACACTCCAGCCTAAACAACAGAGTGAGACTCCATCTCAAAAAAAAAAAAAAAAAAAAAAAACAACTAATTGCCTTTTATTTGCAATTCTAGAATCAGGCAACACCTCCCTCTGTGAAATAGAAGGGAGATTCCAATAAGCTGAACAGAGGATGTTAGCTTTTTTATAGGCAGAGAGGCGCTAAAGAGGGCAGAGACAGAGAACGAAAAACGGGATGGTTGTTTCACAGTTACTTTCCTTGTAAAGGGTTAGAGCAGAGACTCAGGTTGACTGGAAGCTCCTGTTTTCTAGAGCAACAGACTCATTTCAAAGTTCAGTTTGAGCATGGAGCTCTTAGCACAAGTGACTCCTTTCTGATTTGGTCTGGTAGGATGGGCCTAGTACAGGAGGCTAGTCTGAAACAATGGCCTCCCATGCATTTTATTTAATAGCACCTACCGGATAGGGTTGTTCTGAGGACAGAATGAGTTAATACATATAAATTGCTTAGCACAGTGGCCTCCACACAGTAAGTGTTCAGCATAGTGTTGGCTGTTGTTATATATGAGTATACTATCTGCTGTGACAACCCTGACCAGCAATCAGGGTGGCAGCAAATTCTGCCCACTCCCCCCAACCCCCACCATCTCATGCCCATCCTGGCCTAAGTCCCACGCACCTGGCCCCAAAGACACCTCTGGACTAGCTCCCCCTCTCTGTCTGGAATGCTTTTCCCTCCCCTTTCCTCATGCCTGGTTCCAAAACACCCTTTGTTTCTCTGCTCACAGGTCTTGCCCACCCAGTAGAAAGGAGGTCCTCCAATATTTTATTTTATTTCATTTCATTTCATTTCATTTCATTTCATTTCATTTTATATTTTATTCTATTCTATTCTATTCTATTCTATTCTATTCTATGATAGAGTTTCACTATTGTTGCCCAGGCTGGAGCACAATGGTGCGATCTTGGCTCACTGCAACCTCCACCTCCCGGGTTCAAGCGATTCTCCTGCCTCGGCCTCCTGAGTAGCTGGGATTATAGGCACCCGTCACCACGCCTGGCTAATTTTTTGTATTTTTGGTAAAGACGGGGTTTCACCATGTTGGCCAGGCTGGTCTCCAACTCCTGACTTCAGGTGATCCACCCGCCTGGGCTTCCCCAAGTGCTGGCATTACAGGCGTGAGCCACCGTGCCCAGCCCTCCAATTAGTTTTTTTGTCTCCAGTCCCTATTTTTCACTTTGGTACTCTCATCAAAATCTGTCAACTCTGGCCAGGCACTGGTGGCTCACACCTGTAATCCCAGCACTTTGGGAGGCTGAGGCAGGCGGATAACAAGGTCAGGAGATCGAGACCATCCTGGCTAACACGGTGAAACCCCGTCTCTACTAAAAATACAAAAAATTAGCTGGGCGTGGTGGCGGGCGCCTGTAGTCCCAGCTACTCGGGAGGCTGAGGCAGGAGAATGGCATGAATCTGGGAGGCAGAGATTGCAACGAGCCGAGATGGCGCCACTGCAGTCCAGCCTGGGTGACAGAGCGAGACTCTGCCTAAAAAAAAAAAAAAATCTGTCAACTTTTTAATGTATTTGTCCACTTCCGTCTCTATAGAATGTACACCCTGAGGGCAGAGGTGGTGTTGGCACCTCCATCGCTGCATCCCTAGATCCTAGCTCAGTACCTGGTACTCCAGAGATACAGGTAGAATCAACAGGTAGAATGGATAGTATGTAGTAGGTTCCTAGTAAATCCCAAACACTAAGCCTAGCTCATCAGTGCCTGGCGTACAGGTGCTCTCAAGAGATATGTGTAAAATGAATTAATTAATAGTATGAATTAGGTTCCCAATGAGTGGGCTCCCAGAGTACAGGATGGGACCCTAGTGCCTGGGGAAATACAATAATTGCCAACATTATGGCTGGGTGAGGTGGCTCATGGCTATAATCCCAGCAGTTTGAGAGGCCAAGGCAGGTAAATCACTTAAGCCCAGGAGTTTGAGACCAGCCTGGGCAACAAGACGAAATCCCATATCTACAAGAAAATACAAAAATTAGCTGGGTGTGGTGGCACATGCCCATAGTCCCAGCTACTCAGAGGGGCTGAGGTGGAAGGATGGCCTGACCCTGGGAGGTGGAGGTTGCAGTGAGCCAAGATCGCGCCACTGCACTTGGGGTTGGGTGACACAGCAAGACCTTGTCTCAAAAAATAATAATAATAGGCCAGGCACGGTGGCTCATGCCTGCAATCCCAGCACTTTGAGAGGCCAAGGTGGGTGGATCGCCTGGGGTCAGGAGTTCGAGACCAGCCTGTCTAACATAGCGAAACCCCGTCTCCACCAAAACTATAAAAATTAGTCGGGTGTGGTGGTACATGCCTGTAATCCCAGCTACTTAGGAGGCTGAGGCAGGAGAATCGCTTGAACCTGGGAGGCAGAAGTTGTAGTGAGCCAAGGTCATACCATTGCCCTCCAGCCTGGACAACAAGAGTGAAACTCTGTCTCAAATAATAATAATAATAATAATAATAATTGCCAACATTATGGAATGCTTGTTATATGCTAGGGAGCATTCTGAGTACTTTCCATAGATTAACATCTTTCCTCCCCACAACGAACCAGTGAAGCAGTCACTATTTCTATTTTTTTTTTTTTTTTTTTTTTTTTTTTTGAGACCGAGTCTCACTCTTGTCACCCAGGCTGGAGTGCAGTGGCGTGATCTCGGCTTACTGCAACCTCCACCTCCTGGGTTCAAGTGATTCTCCTGCCTCAGCCTCCTGAGTAGCTGGGATTACAGGTATGCACCACCATGCCTGGCTGATTTTTGTATTTTTAGTAGAGACAGGGTTTCACCATGTTGGCCAAGTTGGTCTCAAACTCCTGACCTCAGATGATCCACCCGCCTCGGCCTCTGAAAGTGCTGGGATTACAGGTGTGAGCCACCGCGCCCGGCCAGCAGCCACAATTTCTATCCAGATTTTACAGATGAGAAAACTGAGGCTCAGAGGCAAGGAACTTGCCCAAGGGCACCCAGCTGTGTGACCTGGAATTTGAACCTAGACACACTCTGGTTCACAAAGGTGACTTGCTTTTCAACACTGCCCGTACTGCAAGCAGGAAGGCTTCCTGGAGGAGATGGGGCAGAAGCTGGGCCTGGGAGAGTGGAACAGATTCCTACAATAGGGAACTGAGTCACTGGGTGCAGCAGCTGGCAGGAGTGGAGCGGAGATGGCACTGGGGAATAAGGTTGGCAGGTGTTTCAGTTATCTCTTGCTGATAGGAGTCCACCCAAAAACATGACTGCATTGACTTAGCAACAACCATATACTTAACTCAGGAATCTGCAATTGGCAGGATTCAGCAGGGACAGCTCGTCTCTGCTCACATGACGCCAGTTCTCTGTGGTGTCACTACCTGGCCTCTACAACATGGTGGCGGCAGGGCAGCCAGCTTCCTACATGGTGGTTTCAAAGACACGTGGCAAGAGACAGCCAGAGGAAGCCATCGCCTTTTATGATCTGGCCTTGGAAGTCAGCCAGTGTCACTTCTGTTATATTGTATTAGTCAAAATATAAGTCTGCCCAGGTTCAGGGGAAAGGGGAGGACTAGGTATAGCCTGTTTTGTAGTCTGATAGATAGTTCTGGATGCTGAGAAGTCCAAGATCAAGGAGTCAGGAGATTTGGGTCTGGTGAGGGCCCACTTTCTGGTTCATTGATGGTACCCTCTTATTGTGTCTTCATGATGGAAGGGGTAAGGAGTCTCTCAAAGGTCTCTTTTATAAGGACACTAATCCCACTCATGAGGGCTCCACCCTCGTGATCTAATCACCTCCCCAAAGCCCCACCTCCTAATTGTTTTTTAGGGTTTTTTTGAGACGGAGTCTCGCTCTCTCTCGCCCAGGCTGGAGTGCAATGGCACGATCTCTGCTCACTGCAACCTCTGCCTCCTGGGTTCAAGCAATTCTCCTGCCTCAGCCTCCCAAGTAGCTGGGATTACAGGCACCTGCCACCACACCCAGCTAATTTTTTGTATTTTTAGTAGAGACGGTTGCATCACCTTCGCCAGGCTAGTCTCACCTCAGCCT